AATAATAAAATGTGTCCCTTTCATTTTTTTTTTTTTTCTTTTCATAAATTATCATTCAAATTTTTAATCTAAAATATAACCTAATTAATTCCACAAATAAAGAAGATCAACTATGTTCATGTGCTGCCAACCCCTTACTTCTTTTAAAGTGAACTTTTTCTATACTGAAGTGATTTGATATATTAATGAGATTGGGCACAATAATATTACTAGTCACTCAAAACAAAGTCATTTGAATAGAGTTTGGAAAGACGAAAGGACAAAAGGTGACTGAAATGAATTATATTTTATTTATATTTTATTTTTTTATTAAATTTCTATCTAAATTCATAAATCAAATACTACCTAAAACAAAGCATCGTAAAATATCCAGATTCTCTATTGTTCTCCCAATCACCAGCATAAATCAATGAACCCTACATTTTTGTCAATGACGTTTGAGTTGTATCACCAGGTGACCATGCCCTGAGGCACAGTGAATAACTTCTCCTACCACGACTACAAAAATAAGTCGGATTACCAGGTGACCATGCCCTGAGGCACAGTGAATAGCTTCTCCTATCATAGTGTCACGACCACAAAAATAAATAAAAAATAGTGGACTTTTTTAGTTTTTCAGTTTTTTATATTCTATTTTTGAAAATTTTTATAAAAAAAATTACTTTTTAGATTCGTTTATACAAAAACAGACCCCAAAAAAAAATGGTATAATTTTGAAAAAAAAAAAATCACCAAAGGTTAAAAAAAAGAAATGACTTATTTTTTGTGTTTCCAAAAAAAATTAATTATTGAAAAGTGCAAATAGACGTACTTTTAGTTGCTGTTTCTTAATTTTCATCCAATAGGCCTTTTAAGTCATTGTTTACCATTTTACTTCTCAACACAATTTTAGTATAGTGTAATAAGTCTCATTACTAATATATATTTGTAATGTAGTATTGACAAGTAGACTAGCATATTAGATACCAAATCAAGTCTTAATTCTTATTAAATAGTTAGTTATATGAATCCTTCATTTTCTTACTTGACTCTATCAACGACTATTTGATTAGTTAAATTAAGGAATTAGCTCATGTCAATCTAAGTTTGCCCTTTCTCTTAACGCTTTTATCCACCGTCACTGTATCGCATTTTTTCAATACTGTCTTTGTTGGTTTCCGTTGTATATGACTAAACCATTTCAATCTATTCTTTTTCAATTTTTCTATCAGTACTACTCTTATCTATTCACAAATATACTTATTTTTAACTCTATCTCTTTTAGTCTTACCACAAATCTACCTTAACATTCTCATCTTAATAACATTTATCTTATTTACATGTTATTTCTTAGTTGCCTAATATTTCGTCCTATACAACATCGTTGGTCTAATAGCCATGCTATAAAACTTTCATTTTAGTCTAGTGGGTACTCGTTTATCACATAGTACCGCAGACGCACTCCTCCGCTTAAACCACCCGCCTTAATTCTATGGATCACATCCACTCTAATCTCTCTAATCCTTGTGATAATCGATCATAAATAATGAAAATATTTACTCTTAGATGTTTTTGATTCTCAATTTTCACTTATCCTCTACTTCTATTGTTACTGTTATTAAAATTACACTTCATGTACTACGTCTTAATTCTGTTTATCCTAAATCCTTTATATTCAAGTGTTTCTCTTCAATTCTCCAATTTAGTATTGACTCTTCATTTAGTCTCATCCATTAGCACGATATTATTTACAAAAAATGTACACCATGGCATATCATCCTGAATATTTCTCGCCAACTCATCCATAACTAAAGCAAAAAGATAAGGACTTAAGATTGATCATTGGTGTAACCTTACAGTAATTGAAAATTTGCTTGACCCTTCAACAGACGATTTAATAGTGGTCACCCTTCATATATGTCCTTAATCACATTAATATAATTTTTGTCACTCATTTCTTCTCTAACACCCACCAGATTATTCTTGTGTTATTTTTTTTTATAAAGTTAAAAAAAAATTCATTATTAATAGTAAGACTAATGCAAAATTACATAATTTTATATAAAATGATGTGATTTAATCTAAACCCTATACTTTAAAACAAAAACAAAAGACCTTCATAAAAATTATTTTATTTACAAAAATGACAATACTACATGGTATTATTTAAATATAAGGGTAAATTACACTGACACCCCCTGAAATTTTTGATTAATATAGTCCCCTCACATTTGAAAAATTACACTTATCCCCTTGTCTGATTAAAATGATATATTTGTCCTTTAACTTTTATATATATCAAATAATAAAATAATAAAAATATTTTATTCATATTATTTCAAGAGAAATAACAATCATCTTTTTTGGTTTAACTCAAACAAAAAATTGAATTATTTTTATTTTTATTTTAGTGAATTTTTTTAATATTTTAAGCATTTTTAAAAAAAAATTAGATACACTTAATTTAGATATACTAAAGAAATATATTATTTTGTAATTTTTTTTAAAAATTTACCAAATACAAAAAAAAAATATAAAAATTCAGTACATTATTTTATTTTGTTATATTCAATAGATTTTTTTTATAAATTTTTTTGTACAAATTTTATACATTAATATATCTAGATTAAATTGATCTAAAAAGTAAAAAATGAATTGATTAAAATATTTTAAAAATTATTAAAAATACAAAAATATAAATTTAAAAGTCAAAAAATTATTTCTAACAACTCCATGATGGTGTGGAGTACATTTTTGTTGTTATTCTTGTACAAACATATATATATATATATATATATATTCAAGTTTGATTAGGTGGTTAGTTAGATTTTACGTTAATGACGATGTTTGCTAATACTGTAATTAGTGTGGCTGAATAGACAAGAAAGAAAAATGATGGTGGAAATAAAAATAAAAAAATCATATTCATATATAAAAATATCATAAAAATTTTGTGATGGTAATATTGTTATAAATATAAATCATATTTATGGGTGTTTTGATTTAAATTGAAATGTCACCATTAAGTTATATCACTGCGTTTGAAAATTCTATATAAAATTTATATTTGTATATCATCACTCAATAAGAATATGTTCAATTATAATTTAATGATAGGAAGATGTAGAATGTAATCATGATGATATGAAGAGAAAATGTCAAGAAAAAGGGCAAGATGCTTATTTGAAAAAATTTAGGACATGATATCAACCATCCAAGGGCAATTCGTAATGAGATTACAAACTTCAAAGAGAAAAATATAATTTTTCAAATATAAAAGGAGATCTATATCAAACAGAAATCTCAAAAAGTGTTGTAATTTACCCTCTTTAATATAATTCTTTTGGCAAGGAAGAAAGTTTTCATTATTAGTAGTAGGACTTGTGCAAAATTTCAATATTCATATGTAGAATAATATGACTTAATATGAATATTACACTTTAAAACAAAGCATCTATAAAAAATTATTTTTATTTAACAATGACATTATTATATTATTCTTTTGATATTTTTTAAATAAATTACAAATACACTCCTTTAAAATTTATTTAAAATACAAATTGTTATATAAATTTTTCTTTAGGATAAAAATTTTCATTATTATTGGTAAGACTTGCACAAAATTAGACCTTTTTATTAGAGTGATGGATGTGAGATTCGTCTCCTTGTTTTTCACATGCAATGACCCAGAGACAAATTGAAAATTAGTTAGATACTCTAAAAATATTATGTGAAATTGTCTTTATGATATTTTTGTTGACGAAAAATCACAACACACGTTAAATAGATCACTATTTACCTTTTAACTACTTAACAAATTGACTTATGAACTTATTTATTAAATGATTAATTTTGAACACTACATAAATAATGTCTAATAATATTCTAAGATTACTAAATAATTATAATATTTTTAGACTATTAAATAATTAACGAGACAAGTGGACTTGTTCTATTATGATGTCTATACATGTATATCGACGAGCACCATACATATGATAGACATATGATGGTTCCACTTCACCACCTATTGTAAAATCCAATCATGTGAGCCCATTTTCCATGAACCTTCAATTCATTGCAATAATACCACAATCAAAGTAACCATCCAACCTTTGAAATCTTTCCATCTAAGGAAAATTATTATCATCTAATATAAAATCATAAATCTCACAATTTTTTACCAATCGACATAACCCTTCTGTCACAAATCATTACATTTTTTTACGTTCTCCCACCACTTAATACAAAATCACAAATCATTACATTTTTTATGTTCTCCGATCACTTACTACAAAATCATAAAGCCCATCTCTGTGTGTCAAATAGTATTTGTTTGCTCATATTGTCAATTTCCTGAAAACACATAATACACATTTTTGATTTTGTTTTTTAGTTTCTGTTTTTGGCCTTTCAGAAAAATAAAAACAAAAAACTTATTTAGTATATACAAACATTTCCAAAATATTAAAAAATGAAAACGAGAATTTGGGTAAAGGATTGAAAAGATGAAAAACAAAAAAGATAAAAAATAAGACATGAATAAAATATAAACTAAATTGTTTCTCTATTGAAAAATGCTTCGTACCCACTAATTTAGCACCACTAATGCACCACTAATGACGTGGCATCATGTGGACCCACCACTAATGTGATAGGATAGTTTAGTCTTTGTTTTTTTTTTTTTTCTTCACATTGCCACCTCATTAGTTGTGTTTTTAGAGCTTCAAATTTAGTGCTCTAAATCATCACTCTTCTCTATTTATCTTTATCTTTCCAAATCCATGATCCAAACACAAGATTATACTATTGCCACATTTTTAGAAACAAAAACACACAAAGAAATGAAAACTCATTATTTCATATGATTTTTTTTCTTTTTTGAGACACAGCTAACTACTGAAAAATAAAAAGTACCCTTTTTAAGTGTTTGATGTCAAACTAATTTTAAATTTTTTCAACAAAAATAATTCAGAAATAAATTCAGAAAAATCAACCAAACAGAGCCCTGACGAGTTTAGTTGCTTCCTAACAAAGTAAACATAAGCCAAAATGGAAAGAACCGACACTTACAGGCAACAAGATGTTCAATTCTCTCTCAAATAGCAAATTTACAAATGCGGAAATCCCATCAATGTACCGCAGAGAGAACACCTACCTCTAGCCTCGAAGGAGTCGTGACAACGGAGATAGATACAAGATTACATAATAAGACTGTCAAGCATTCCAAATGATGATGTTCGATATCCAATCATTATGCTAACGATTGTGAGAAATGGAACTAATATAACAACTGCTTCGTACTAAGCAAATATAGATCCCACTACATTACTAAGCCTCAAAAGCTCAAGTAAATAACTAAACCCTGAATGCCTAACTAACATATGTAAATGTCAACAGTTTCTTCTCCATTTTTATTGTACAATAAACTTGCCCTATCCTAAATAATTAAAAGAAATTGGTAGGCCTTACCTTAACCTAGATTCTCTTCATCAGATTGAGAGCCTGGAGGCCCAGGGACTGAATCAACAAAGAACTCCTCCACTGAAACAAAGAACAAGCCGAGTGTAAGAACAATCACATAATGGAGGGGGAAGGAGAGGCACATTCAAATTATAATTACATTGTTTTAGAAATTTCAGAGAAAGGAGTTCAACGATAACCAAACCAAACTAAGCCTTATGTCCCACTCAGGTGGGGTCAGGTCCGCTTACATGAATCTTTTTTTGCAATTCTGCTCTGACAAGGACTACATCAACTAAATTCAATAATTTCTTATCTTTTTTACTACCACATCCATCACAGCCCATCTAATTATATACAGCTTTAGAGCAAAGGGCCATCTAAAATTTTCGTTATTGAACTTTTGCAATTAATTTGCATATCATTCTTCCAAGAGATAATGTTCTACTTTCTTTTGCTTTAGTTGTTTTCCATGAATTTGAAATACCCAAACCTAAGTAGTTTGAACATTAGGTTCTTTGGCTGCCACTACTACCTTTGAATCTAACCATTTATTTCAAATAGAAGAGCTATACACATCTACACAAATGGAAAGCTAGCATGCATTCCCATATATGTTTTGTCATTTCCAGTCAAATGCTGCAAAAACCGAAGCAAGAGAAATGATTGTGCATACCTATACCCTCATGGTCTGGAGAATCAAGTAAAATATCTGAATCAGAAGGCAAAAAGGGAGAACCAGGATAATTTCCCAAGGCTCCTAGATCTGTAAGCAATTTCAAGGTGAGAGGTACAATTAACCAAAGCACTTAAAAAAAATCCATATGAAACATGAGAATCAATCAAAATAAAGTAGACAAGAAATCTATGCCCATAATTAAGCAAACCAAAAAGGTTTAAAAGGATCATGCCCATATTAAAACCACCAGTATGTCATTTGAGAGGGCTAGAACAAGATTACTTAGAAAAAGTAGCTAGATCCTCTCTATACATATATATACACACACAAATAAGCAATAGATCAGACAACTTCTCAATGACTGCATGTCCAACAACAAGAGACAGGTGGTGGTAGGCACACATTATATTTTTTATTGATGCCAATAATTACAGATAACAGTGTTGCACTTTTGCTGACACTCCAATCTTTTTGGGAAAAAGGCATTTACTTCTGGAAAAGATTTTTGGTTCCCCCAATAGTCTTTAATTTTAATTTACGTCTATTGATAGAATGCCCAATTAACTGGACATGCAAACAATTGTACACTGACAACCGTTACAATATTTGCCTACGGTTACAGTTAATTCTTAGTAGACTTTGCAGTTTTGCTAAGCTAGTAGAATACAGTTTTACAGAAACTGAATCAAGTCTACTCATTTAGCGAAGTAGAAAGTGAGGTGAAGAGAATGGCGAAAGAATAAAGTGAAACCGTGAAGAATCAAGAAAGATATGAAGTCCAAAAGATGGCTCGAAGAGAAGTCAGAAATGGAAAGAAAAGTCTTATTTTTTTTTTTATTATCAACTTTCGGAGCTCTCACGACATGCAAAAAGAAGAAGAATGAGACATGTGAGAGGTGACACGAAAACTAGGCTATAAGATGAATCCAACCACGTAAAAATGAGGTGAAACGGAGTTATGATGAAGAAGACACAAGGGCTTGAAGTGGTGGTGGTAGGAGGGTGGGTTTTTATCTTTCTTCTGAAATTTGGGGCAAAAATGTAATTTTTTTAACTTTTTTCATTTCAAATGTGACGGCAAAGGCAAAATTGATATGATTTCAAAAACTTTGGGGATAAAATTGAAATTAGTCGCAGTCTGAGGGTGTAATTGAAAATCGAGGCAAAGTATAGCAGTAAAAATGAAATTTTCTCAGTTTTGCAACCTGAAACCAGCAAAATGTAGTTATTAAATGAAAGCCCTGCTGTAACTGAAACTAAAAAGATACAGAGAAGAATGTGCTCTTAATGGACCAGTATTGATACTGCTGAAGTTGATTAGCGAGTAACCAAAGGCTTGAGAGTGAAGTTTATATTGATGAGGGTCAGAAACAGAAAATTCAACTTTAAGAAAATTTTTATGCTAAAATTGGTAGATGTTTTGATGTGCTGGTCAAATACTGAAAATACGTTTGGTATGTCAATAATTGTGAGGATGATTGTGTTCCTTAAGAGCATAAATAATAATTTTTATTCGAGCCTTGATTTGTTGACATGTCAATGAATGTTTGAAAGATTAGGTCCATGAAACACCGACACTTCAAAATGGGTGTTGTGTCCGTGTTAGACATATATGGGACACCGACATGCAGGGGACACCTGTGTCCAAGTGTCGGACATGCCATGTGATGCGCCAATTTTTTAATTATTATTTTTTTGTAGGACTATGGGGACACTTAATGGAAATTGTGTTTGGATACACCTCAGGATACCTTAGTGAGTTTCTTTTTTTTCATAAGTTTAGAAAGATGATTTGGCGAAAGTAAATGAAAATAAAGAGGGAGGAAAGTGAAGGAAAAAAAAAAACACATCCACATATAAATTGATACCTCTTATGTGTCCTACAGTTATATTCATATACGTGGCAAATATATATATATAATTTTTGTCGTATCTCTGCTGTGTCCATATATTTTTTCAAAATCACTGTGTTTGGTGTCCATGCTTCTTAGTTGGGATCTTTTTGTAGGACTCTTTAATTAAAATCCTTTTTAGGCTATCTATGAAGCACGGGTACTTCGAAAACTATGCCGTATCCGTACTGAATACTTATCGGCATATGGTAGTATGGTACTTTTGCATACATACCGGGTACACGAAACACGTACTCAATTTTTTTTTCTCTTAATTTTTGGCGTACCTAGATGTACCTAATATATACCCAAGCCAAGCTGCACCATACCTTAGTTGAAATAATATTTTCTTCTACTACATAAATAAAACTCCTTTCACTAGACTTCTTTTTTATTTTTTGTTTTATGCTTAGCATGATTTTAAATTAAACTATGATTTGTAAGTTATTTAATATATTGACATTTAATTTTGATTTATATCTTTACTTTTGGCATTAAATGTTAATTGTAGGTTGAACCTTAACAAATTAAACCATTTAATTAATTTTTGCATTACTCTCAATTAAAAATAAATATTTTTTTACAAGCGTACCAAGTTGTACCCATACCTGTACCCTGTTTTTTTTTTAATTTTACTGTATCGATTAACCCGTACCGTACCTGTACCAATACTCGTATCCGTACTCGTGCTTCATGGATATACACAAATGGAAATATGTCTATACGATCATACATAAGAATATGCGATCAGTTAGAGGAAGGGGGGGAAAGTAATGGGGAACAGGGAAGAAACATGCCTTTGTGACATGGTTGTGTTAACTATTTAACGGAGAATCAAAAAGAAAAATGAGGTGAAGATCGGAAATAATTCTCACTCGTTTCCAGAATTCATCCGAATGGGATGAAAATTGTTTGGTGCAGGCACTCCATCAACAACATGGCAGCTAGCTATTCCGCAGCTCATGGAATCAAGATGAGGTTGACCTGTAGCTGGAACTGGTGGTTGCTGTAGGACAGGATATCCCATGGGTAAGTTGTTAACTGCACTGCAAATGCATGGTATTAAACAATGATGACAATAAATTATACAAGGACAGGACACCAACACAACACAACCATGCTTGTATATCATTCTATCAAACTAACCTACCTTTATTCTGGTGTAACTCTATAATCTTCATATGGTAGTTACACAGACACTTCAATAAGTGCAGAGTACCCACATCAACCACAATTCCTGTTCTATTCTTACAATAGTTGTATTTTGTGTTTTTAAGGCAACAGCAATGAAAGTGAGAATTCACCTGCCATGGGATGAATACCATTCTGTATCGGAGCCAAAGGAACCTTTGGAGGTACAGGATACTTCATTAGATGATACTGGTGCTCAAGCAAATGATTGAACATGATAATTTGTTTCTTCAATTTTAGCCTTATGTAATAGGCCCTGAAAAAGTCAGCATTTTCTTCTTCTAACTTCTGCCATACTGAATTAACAAACAAAATGATCAGTTGAAAAGTAAGAAAATAAATAGCTACAGTTAAATGACTGCTAAAAGATGATTACGCAAAAAAATAAACTAAATTAGTTCGAAAGGTCTTTTTTATCTTTAAGCCATAAAAATCAGAACTAACATATCTAGTCTGTTATAAGTTATAATATAGAATCTGTTTGAAATTCATGGACTAAGAAATCATCTTCAATAGATTGGATGAAAAATTCATACAACAGCATAAATTGATGAGCAACCAAAGTACCAGTTAGAAAATTGCAAAATGATAAGAAGTGATAACTACGAAAAACTTTTCCAGAGGTTTGAAGATGCTTACCCAAAGTTGTAAATCCAGGATCTATCCTTGCACGATTCAATAGGGTTTTTACCACTTCATCTCTATTCATGTACAACTGTAGACACCGTTCTATCAAGTTCTGGACCTGCAACAAACCAATCATTTAAGTTTGAAAATAAAAAAACATGTCATGTGACAGTGGGTGGGAATTAATATAAAAAAAGAAAAACCTATCAATTGAAGGACCAGACTGGCTTACAAGTTCAATATCTTCCCGAGAAACTTTCCTATTATCATGGCTTGGACTAGAAATTGAACCCGAGTCTCCTACAGGAGCCTCTGTTGCACTATTCTGTTGGTCAGCTTGGGACTCATGAGAAACCTGGGTTGAGGATTGTATTTCCGGTGTATTTTGCGGATCCTGTGAAATTTCATAATTTTGATTAGAATTACAACAAACAAATCACATTCAGAATAAATAAATAGAAAAAAAAAAGAAAAAGAAAGAGAAATGTTTAGGAAGTTGGATGGAAAACTACAAATAAGCTCTAAAGTCAACGAAACCATATTATATATGATTTTGATGATATAAGAAATTATCAAACAAATATGAGAAAACAAAAAGGCAGATTTTCATAAAGGCTAAATGAGTTTTGTTAAAGTCCTAACATCAGAACCTGCACGTTCTTCATTTCAGTTGAATGCAAGCTGATTGCATCTCCTCATTAATCTCTGGTATCTTGCAGACTATGGCTATGGTCATCAAATTCACCAAGGTTTAAATGTTTGCTGCTAACCTTATCACACTTAATAAGTTGTGGTAGTTTTACCTGGAAAGAGAACATCACCAATATAAAATTTAACCACGTAGAATATGAAATCGATTAAGAGTGAAACAAGACTTAATGCCAAGTACAGCATAGGACTAAGAAAACATCATGCATTATTTGTCTTCATTGACCTGATGAACTGACTGGAAACATGATGTACAGTACAGATTCTAATGCTTTCATGTGTTCTATCTGTTTAATTTAAAATTTCCATGCATAAACCTCAGCAAAATCTATACAGTAGCCATGATAATTCATGAGCACAAACCATAACAACATGCATAGGGTGCTAACACTTAGATTAAGACTCAGATTGTAATATTGTCTATTATAGATACTTCAAAGGTGGGTGAAGAGAGATGTGATAAATAGGGGAAGCCCAAAGGCAATGTGAACATTGCGGTAGTGATGAGCAAAACAGTGTTTGTGATTGTAGGGATGCATGTTATTAGTGTAATCACACATGATTGGTAGCTAGATTGTGCGTCCACTTCCACCAAAAGAGCAATCCAAATAAGCTCATGGAGTTTTCTTTGATTGAGCTAGCAGCCTAGAATTGCTATTCCATGAACCAAAGATAAATGCAGCAAATTTACACTTGCACATAATGATGAGTGACTACATAAGGTTGTCAGGAAACTTCATCTATAGTGGACAATTCATAGAACTAACCATCATAATTTATAAGAGTATGGTGAAGGATGATTAGCAATTATCGTTAGAGAGTATGAGCCAAAATCAGTGTATAAATGCCTCGGTGCATCTTTTATAATCACTGTCATTTTAATTTTAATCTCCTATTACACACTCACAAATTCATACACTTTCCAAAACTTCAATAAACCCACTGCTTAATAGAAGGATCTCCATACCACAGTGTCCTCAATTGTTGGGATGACAAAACATTCCCATATTATGACAAGCAAATCTTTGTCATCATCTGTGAAAAGAAATCTCTGTACACGTATCCAGAATCCACATGACATTTTGACTATTGAACAATGCTTTGCAATTACATATAAGGTTTGCCAAGAGCCATCGATAACAATCAGCAAAACATTGTCACAAACACAATCCTATAACCTGGCTAAGAATTTCAAAATCAGATAATTCCCAGTTAACCAAATTGTCAATTAATTCACCAATTCAATCCTCCAAGAACTCATCAGCTAATACACACTCCCAGAGAAAACTATACCAAACATGTATATAAATACACACAAAACTTTCAAATCTATCTATTTCGGAAGCCCAGAGCAATTATAGTTGAACTTGGAAGCTAACTGTATTCACATCTATTCCATTATATAAAGCCCACAACTCAATTTTTGAAGCTTTGTCACGCAATTTGGATTTCCAAAAATGCTCATAGAATTGCTAACTGAATGAATAAACATGACACATCTAGTAAATTAACTGCTAATCAGTTTTTGAACTAACCCATATTTCTCATTCATCAAATCGCCTAAAAAAAAAATTAGATATAGTAAAATTGCACACATATAGTGTCTATCTATTCTATCTTGTCACTACTAACAACTTTCAAATTCAACCCATCTTCCTCATTTATCAACTCATCAAAAAATTTGCATACTATCACTTTTGAATACACTGCTAGTATATATATAAATACACAAACTTATACAAAACGAGATCTAGAGATTATGTACCTTACATCTAACTTTAGGACACTCCAAAAGGAGGAAGACTAGCTTTGTATCGACGAATTTTGAAACCCTAACTCTGAAGAGCTATAGATTCACCAAAAAAAAAAAAAAAAAAAAGGGCCTTCCGAGAATTAGATAGATTTCACGAAAATTACAAGATGATGACAGAGTGAAGCTCTAAAAGACATGCTCAGAGTCAGTGGGTATGAGTTCAAGTGGTGGTGCATTGCAAGGAGTGAAATGATAATTTTTGCATAGAGATGTAGATGAAGATCCAGAGAAATTGTGGAGGTACATCCATGGTGGATTGGAAAATCTATTGAGTTTGGTGAGATGGGTTTTAGGAATTGTGATAGTGAGTAGTTGGAAGGTTTGGAAGAGACGTTTCAGCTAGAGAGACGAAGCAAGGGAAGCGGAATAGAAAATGAAGGAAACGGAGAGAAAATATCTCACCAAACCAACGCTCCGTGGGGTTTAATTCTAGAATAATGATTTAAAGATGTTTGTTTGGGTGGATATGAGTTTGAGATTGAAATAATAGTCTAATAAAATTATTAATTTGATATTTGGTTAAATAATTGAGGTATAGATTAATTATTTTAAACTTGACTATTAGTTAAGATAGGATACATAATCTAACGGATTCGTAGTCTTAAGACTATTAGTCATGGGAATGCTAATCCAGTCCGCCCAAACAAATATGGTCTAAGTGTGTTGTTATATTTTAAATTTTGAATTTTTAAATTATGATTTGGAGAAAGAAAATTTATTTAAATATGAGTTTTGAAAATAGTTTTGGAATAATTTGTATTTTTTTGATTGATTGATTTATAAAATGTAAGAAGAGAGAAGAGAGAAAAAAAGTGATTGATTAATTGATTAATAATATTTAAAAAGAAAAAAAGAGTTTTGAAAATAATTTTGAATTATATTTTAAAATTTTGTTTAGTTATAAATTGGGAGATTTACCAATAAATCCCAAAATGTAAACTTATGAACCAATTGGTCCCATTTTTATTCTAGTAAACCTTTTAGTCCTGAAAAATTCTGAGAGACGTAATTACCCTCATTTAGACACCACTCATCTCTCTTAGCATTCTCTCTTTCACACGTGGAGACCAAACCACACACACATCTTCTCTCTCTAGCAGACACAAGACACCATGCACACAAAACACCATTAACACACACCCAGCAGCCATACTCATACACACCATACACAACACACACACACACACACACACACACAGAGCACACACCAAACCCAGCTCTCTCTTCTCCCTCTAAGACACACCCAGCGCATAACGCACACACACACTGATATACGCACACACACACTGATGGCTTCAACACACACACTCACACACACTGATACACACGCACAGCACACACAACGCGTTGTAAGGGGTTTTTTGTTTTGGGCTGGGTTGGTGTGTTTGGGGGTTCACACAGGCAGACACACACACATTCATCAAAGACCAAACCACCATTGACACAGTGAAGATCTTCGATGCCAACCCTGGCATCCTCCGCGCCTTTGCCAACTCCGATATCTACGTCACCGTCACCGTTGCCAACTCCGACATCCCCGCCGTCTCCAAACTCTCCGCCGTCGTGTCCTGTGTGGCTAACGACATCCTCCTTTCTACCCCATCGCCAAAATCCACCGCATCGCCATCGGGAACGAAGTCATTGCCACCGCCGACAAAACCGTCATCGCCCACCTCCTCTCCGCCATGAAATCTCTCCACGCCGCCGTCAATCTTGTCGAAACATCTAGCATTCAGGTCTCCACACCTAATTCACTAGGTATATTATCAATCTCGGAGCCACCCAGTTCGGGTCGATTCAGGCGGGTTTTCGACCGGGTCATATTGGCCCCAATCCTTGAATTCCATCGCCAAACAAACACGCCCTTCATGGTCTGCCCATACTCGTTTTTCGGGTTCACATCGAATACTCTGGACTACGCCATGTTTGATGCACAGTTGGATGCGATTTACTCGGTGATGAAAAGGCTGGGGTACGATGATACACAAACACACACAACAGCACAATGATACACACACACACACACAACACACACACACAATGATACACATACACACACAAAGATACACACACACAGCAGCCACTGTTACACGCACACACACAGTGATAGAATGAGCAATGCTTCCAAAAAATGAACTGATCCAACAAACACAATCCCACATTAAACCAAGGGCACTCTCGTCCACACAGTTTAAAAAAATGGGAAAAAAAACAAAAAGGACCAAATCAACCCACTAGCAGGACTATTTGGTATAATAGAATAAAAGTGGGACTATTTGGTATAACAGTTTGTAAAATAGGATTTATTGGTAAATAATCCTTATAAATTTTGATTCAAATCATGATTTCAAAATAGAATTAAGTTTTAAAAATTAAACCAAACGCTATCAAAATTTATCTTTTCTTTCTTTTTGGACCATCTCCAATCTATACTCATATATTTTATCAAATTTAAATTTGATAAAAACAGTATTCTGATCGTTTTATTATATTGATATTAAATGAAGAGAGTTATATTTTTTTATCAAATTAAGGAAATGTTTAACTTTTTATCAAAGACAGAGTAGATGACCGATCAGACAACTGGGTAGATCACTGAATGGGGGGAGATTTGATGAAAATTTATATTAGGCCGAACCACCAACTGAATTTAATGAAACCATTAAAATACATTATATCATATTAAGTTTTTAATTAAATTTTTATTCAAATTTAATTAAAATTTTGAATAAATGTTGAAGATGCTTTTGGGAGAGTGAAAATAAAAATGAAAATGAAAAACTTCAATCATGTGTATCTATTTAGAAAAATAATTATATAATTATTGAAAATTTTATGACTTTACTCTCCATTTCTTAGAACGTTTTTAACTTGGCCCCTTTGCTCTGATGAGTTATGTCTGTTAAGGTTTGAGGTCGTAAGTAATCTCAGGATTACTGGCCGGTTATGTCCTTAACCCATAGGGGCAGGTTCGAGTCATGACATTGATAGTGTGAACATTCACATTAGGGGTATTTTGGTAATTATGTCACCCATAGGACTTATTGAAACATAAGAAAATAATGTGAACTAAATGGAACATAAGTAGATAAAAAGGATATTTTGGTCTTCTTATCTCAAATTGGACCTAATGGAATAGTCAAAAAGAATATGGGTTGGATGGAATAAAGCTCTTAGAAAATGGATTTATCAAAAAAGCTCCCAAAATTAATTTTATTATAATTTTATTTTTAAGTGAAATTATTAGTATGAACATTAAATAAACATATTCGGAAGTTGAATGTCGAAAAAATAAAAAAAAAATCGGAACTCTACTTCTGAACAAGTTATTTATTTTTAGAATGCTACTTTCGAACCAATTGTTTATTTTCAAAAATCTACTTCCGAACTAATTGTTTATTTTCAAAAATCTACTTCCGAACTAATTATTTATTAAAAAAAATATGTAAAGAAAGAAATAAGTGTGTGCAAATAGAAGCTCCCCAAATATACCTACACTGTCACAGATAGTATACGTCTGCCGGCTGATATTTTATTTTATTATTATTATTTTTTTAATCAATGGGGTAGGCTGATATTTTTTTGAGGCTAAAAGGATATTTTTCACTTTGAGGGTAAAATTGCCTCTATCCATAGTTCCCAAACACCCCATATATATCAAGTGTACAGGTCCCGTTTGGTATAATTGTTAAAATAAATTATAAATTATAACTTAATATATTATAGATTATAATTTTAAATAAAAATTATTAATTTATTTGATGTAGTTGTTAGATTATAAATTTAAATTACTGAGTAGTATTTATTAAATAAGTTGTGAAGTAATTTTTTTTAATTAACTTTTATTTTTTGTTATTCACTACTTGTCTATATTTCTCATAAATAATAATAATAATAATAATCTATAGTTCATTTGGGTTTTTTCTATTTAAAAAATAAATAAAATTTAAGAGTATAACCATAAATTAGCATGTCACAGTAGAAGCTGATAATCAGAAGTAAGGGGTGAACAGCTTCTCAGAATCAGCTTTTTTGAGTTGAAATAAATTGTCAGAATCAGAACTTATTTGAAATAAATTTAACCAAACAGTCTAAAATAACTTTTCAAAAGCTAAAAGTTATAAGTTGACTAAAAAAAAACCCAAACAAACACCATCATAATACCATTTCCATGGTATTATATATACCTTCATCATTGGATATAGAGTCAACATTTATTTAACGATAAAAAACAGTCACTTTTTTTTTTTAATCTTATGTTATATTGTACGCTAATTAAACATACACTCTCCGTCTCAAAATAATGGTCTTTTTTGGGGAATCTAATTTTTTTTGATAGTACAATTATTGTATTTGAAAAAAGTTAATTTTCTAAAATTACCCTTTTGATAGTACATTTTTTGGGAATATCAATGTCATAATTATACTTTTTATATTGTTTATTAATTTAAAAGAAGGGCAAAACAGGAAATTTACATTATTTTTGTACTTGATTTTTAAAGAGGGACTAATATTTTAGGACAATGAAAAATAGAATAAGGGACTAATATTTTAAGACGGAGGGAGTAATAAAAATGAGTTCACAATATACAATATATATTATATCATATATGTGCAGATATTATAAATTCTAATCACTCGTTATATTTAATGAAGACAATTTATTTTGAGAATATTATATTATTTACAACACAAATATATATTCCAACTTAGAGAAGAGAAGGAAATCTAGAACGTAAAGAGGGCTTCGTGTTTGACAATAAACCTTGTTTATTATGTCAAAGGATTGAATATTGTATGCGTGTACATTTAAGTTAGATAGACACAAGAACATGCGTACATATCTTAATTTAGGAATGGGTCTATAGTCTAAGAAAGTGACGACAATGGTGTGTAATGCAAAAACAAGTTGTTGATTATTGTTGATTTTACCCAACATTCCTCACAACCACATAACATAACATGTTGCATAATCACTCAATCATATTATATGTGAATATAAGCATAATACATGTGATTTCCATAGAGTGATAATAGGGGTCATATGACTCACATAATCATGAACCATATCATGTGGTCCTACCTTGGGAAATCGGGATGCCCATCATCAACCAGATACTACTTTTCTTTTCTTTTTTTGTGAACGAATCAACCAGATACTACTTGATAAATTGATTCTGCGGGGTGGTCCATAGCCAGATTTGGGGTGGCTGCTGTACAAAATGCACAACAGTCACTGTTATACAGTTAAATGGGTTTATTTTAGGGTCTATTTTGATAATTCGAACCGTTTACATTTTAGAATACATGTAAAATGTAACTATAAAAAATTAAGTTAATCGGATATCGTTTACTCATTCATCCACTCACATCTGTATCTACAAAAATAAATAACAATTGTGATTT